CTGAAGGAACACAGCAGGCCAGGCAGCATCAGTGGAATAGGAAAGCTGACGTTTCGGGTCGGGACCCTTCTTCATGCTGCCTGGCCTGCTGTGTTCCTCCAGCTCCACACTTTGTTATCTCTGACTCCAACATCTGCAGTTCTTGCCATCTCGGTGATTCAGGTTTTGACCTCTCTTCCCTCATATTGATCTGAGTAGCATCTTGTGGAGCCACCTAACCTCCACTTCTGAAAATGAAACCAAGCAACAGTCAAGCTGTGTTGAAACTATATTTTCAGACATTTCAATCTACCAGGCCTAGACCACACTGAAAATACTGTGCACATTTCGGGTCTCCATATTACATAAAAAAAGGATTCAGAGACACTGAAAAGGTGCAGAAAGGTACTTACTGGCATAATGCCTCATCTGAGAAGATGCTTTTATCCCGAAAGGCTGAACAGACTGAACACTTCTCAAGAATAGAGAACAGAGATCTTTAACATTTTCACTTCCGAAAAGTTCAAGACTTGGATTTATAAACTTAAGATTAGTGTATGTACGTAGGACCAATTACCACCAGGTAATACTTAGGGTCAGGTTGTGTCCCTAATCCTCCTTTCAAAATATTTTCTCCATATTCATAGCAATTATTACATTCCTTTTCTGTAGGTGGGACTTGAACCTGGGTCTCCTGGCTCAGTGGTATGGACAATACTACTGTGCCACAAGAGCCCTTGTTATGTTAACAATATTGTAGTATGAAACTCTGAGTCTTAACAAGAAGCACTTTTCTTAACAACAAGATGCAGTTTATTGCATAATAACAATACAAGTTACTTTGGCTAGTCAGACATAACCACCAAGACCATCTGCAAATCCCCCCCAATTACATTTTGATTTATTCCCCTCCCCCTCCTCCTACCTTTCCCTCACTTTTGTTGTCATCGCATTCCCCTGGTGGGTTTTGCATGTTAATTGGTTCAGGAACAGATTTATTGGTGGAGGCTGAAGGCATAAAAGTAACATGAGTGATCTGGTGATGTTCGCTGGTGCATAAAAGCATCTCTGGGTGTTAAAAAGAAACGAGCAACTAGACCTGACACATATGGATTGGGATCTAGAGCTCAACTCCGTCATTCTCCCTGGAGGATGATATGACACCATCAGACTGGCTGGAGTCAAATGCAGTCTCCAACATGAACCCTTTGAAAACTATTACCTTATGCAACAAAGATAATCACTGATGAATTCAAGGAAGAATTCAGGAGAGGGCTCTTCATTGAACAAGTGATGAGAATGTGAAACTTTCTACCACAAATAGTGACGAAGGCAGATAGCAATGATATCTTTCTGGGAAAATGAGATAAACAGATTAGGAAGAAATGAATAGAAAGCTACACTGGTACATTAGAGATCATTGGGAGAAGGGTCTTTTGGAGCATAACACTAGCATAGACCATTCGGGCTGAATGACCTGTTTCTGTGCTGCACTTCTCAATATTGTAATTTCTTTATGCAAGTGTGTCAAGTCAACAGCTGTCATTTAAACGTTTGAAAAGAAGGATTAATCTGACAGTATTACTTCATCTTATACATGAGGCACTTTGTAATGACCTTCAAACACTTATGTATTATACCGAAACTGTTGCTATTGAAACTCACGAATAAGTCTGAAATTACCAATGCCTTCTCAATCAGAAACATTCCAAGGAGAATGTGTAAACTTTCAAAAATTCTCACTCCTGCACTCCTAGTTAGCGAGTTGTGGGTTCTGTCTAGGCTTACACTCCCAGACAGGAGGTTGGTTAGCTCAGTTAGTAGGACAGCTGGTTTGTGGTGCAGAGTGCGCCCCTCAGTTTCTGTACTGGCTGAGTTCCCGATGGAGGGCTTGCCTTCTCAACCACACCCCTTGCCTGCAGCATGGTGACCCTCGGATTAAGCTCATCACCAGCCATTCCTCTATTGTGAGAGGGGGACTATGATGATGTTACCTTTACCTTCACTGCAACGAGCACTGCATTGTCACGGAAGCCATCCTCAGGATCAAGTGTTCAGCCAGGGTCTCATTTGCCCCTCAGGATGTAAAAAATCCTGTGGAATGATGCAAAGAGCAGTACTGTTCTCCCTGGCCAATCTTTATCTATCGGTTGAGTTCATTAAAGCAAATCATAGAATCCACAGTGTAGAAGCAAGCCATTTGGCCCAAGGAGTCCGCACTGACCCTCCAAAGATCATCCAACTCAAACTTAGCCTCCTACCCTATATATCCCTGGGCACTACAGCATGGCCTAACCTAACTTGTGAGAGGAAACTGGAGCAAACCCACACAGACATGGGGAGAATATGCAAACTCCACACAGACAGTCATTTGAGGCTGGAATCGACCCCACGTCCCTGGGACTGTGAGGCAACAGTGCTAACCACTGTACCATGGTGCTGCCCTAAGATGTAATTGATTCACATGATTTGATAGAATCCCCACAGTGTGGAAGTAGGCCATTCAGCCCAGAGTGTCTGCTCTGCAATTCAATGAGATCGTAGTTGACCTGATAAACCTCAACTCCATTTTCCTGCCTTTATCCTTACAAATTGAAAATCTTTCTCAATCTTTGTGATGAAATCTCAGCATTGAATATACTTAATGATGGAATCTCAACAACCCCCTGCAGTAAAGAATTCCACAGATTCACATCCCAAAAGAGAAGAAATCCCACATCTTATCTGCCTTAAATATGTGTTATTCTGAGGTTAGGTCCTTTGGTTCTAGATTCTTGTTCAAGGGGAAACAACCTTTCAGCAGCTATCCTATCACGTCCCTTAAAAATCTTGTATGTTTCTATAAGATGACCTCTCATCCTTCTGAATTCCCATGAATACAGGCCTCACCTGCTTAACCTCTATGCATAAGACAGTCCTTATACCTTTCATCACACAAAAAAACAAACCTAGTTCAAGTTCTGACTATTTAATTAATCATTTCAGTGATTGAAAGAAGAATCTATTGCATTTAGTCCAAAAATATAGTCTGTGAACTCTATTTAATTACGAATTCCATAATTAGTATGTTCCATGAATACTTGTCTGTGAAAGTTCAGGGTTTTGCCATTGTTCATTGTACTTCATGGGAGAAAAGTAATTAGCTCTGAGGAAGATTTTGAATTAAGTTTTAATTTAAATGTCTTAACTTTATACCTCAAGCATTTGAACATGACCTAAGTTTTGTTGCACCAGAATTACAGATGCAGGTCCCTCATGCATAAATCAGGCTGACCTAATCTGTCTCATTCAATTTATCCTCCAACTGAACAGAGACTGCCAATGTGTAGCAAACCAAACGAGCATATCCTTATAGATGTTTATCAGGTTTTCTTTCTCAGTCAGCCATCCAAATATGGATGTTCTCACCTAAAGTTGTGAATACTCAAAACATAATTTGCTCGCTGATGAGGAGTTCAGAATCTAGAAACAGTGAAGTACAACTTTTTATTTGAGCAAAGCACCTTTGTCAACATCAGAACATGTCAAAGCAGCTTCACTGTTGTAACACAGGAAAACATAGCAGGCAATATGTATGTAGACCATTCAGCCCATAGAGTCTGCTCTGCCATTCAATGAGATCGTGGTTGACCTGATAAACCTGAACTCCATTTTCCTGCCTTTACCCTAAGCTTCCAAAACGAGAACCGAATGGTTAGATAGTCTGTTTTTGTGATGTTATTCAAGGGATAAATAATGGATAGGAAACCAGGTGGAATTGCCCTGTTCTTCTTCAACCCTTGGGATCTATTTCATCTACCAGAGAAGGCAGGCGCAGTCTCTTGGTTTAACATTTCATCTCAAATACGGCACCTCCCAACATTGTAGCTCTCCCTCAGTACTGCACAAGGTGTGTTAGCCTGGATTATGCACCCTGAGGTCCCTACACCAAAATGTTGTTGTTTCAAACTATCCACCAGAGATATGAGAGCTGTTTCTGTATGAATTGCTTCACAAACCAATTTGACCATATTGTTACAATTGAGATTGGAGATGCTCTTTTGCTAGAATGAAATTTATCAATGAGTCTTGTTATCGCTTGGTAGCACCTGCTGGTTTGGTTGCGAACCAAGAGAGAGATGAAGGCTCACCATTAATTTTCAAGTGATTTCAAGTGATTTGAAGTTGATGTTTAACATTCTCAAATCACTCGAAAGCCCTTGCTCCACCCATCTCTGTGTCATCTGCCAACTCAGACTCAGTGCTTCACCCTGCATCAACCGCACACACCATTGTACCTTCCATAGTGTGGCCACAAAATTCTCTCCCTAAACCTCTCTACCTCTTTTCCTTTGTCTCTTCCTTTAAGGCAGACATTTTAAACCTAAACCGTTGAATACCTTTTCAGTATCTTTTCTGGATTGGTGTCAATTATTATCTGAATATAGTCCTGTCAGGCACTTTCGAACATTTTGCTACATTACCAGCAGGATATAAATGCAAGTTGATATATTTCTTTATAATTAATATGTTGTATGGAACATGCTGTAGGGATTGCAAAATCTATGCACAGCACTGGAAACAGAACAGATGAGCTTGTGGGAATGGTTCATTCTGTTTTTTTTTAGGTGGATAGTCTTTGCCCGCTGACAACAGTAGTCATGGCAATGGAAGGATCTTGTGATTGAATCACATGATTTCGACCAAAGTGCTACTGTAGTGTAACGAAACTGCTGCGAGATAGGCATTTATTTCATAGCTGGCTACAGTGAGCCAGCATATCAAGGCTGCAGAGAGATGCTGTATAACCTTTTAGAATATTATTATTCCGATAAACAAATTAACTGTGTACTGCTTCAAATATCACATTGCAACAGTCGGTATCAATTCAACCGATAAACAGGGTATGTGATGGGTTGACAAAGTTTATAAGCAAAATGTACATCCTGTCAGTTCAGTTCACATGCTCCTCTGCAGAAGCGTTAATGCAGATAATCCGAGTTCAGTTGTGAATTGTAACATTTCATTTTTCGACCTGACAGCGTTTCCCCTGGTATTGAAGGAATAAAGGAACAAAATATTTCCAATAAACTCATGACCGCACTGCTGGAGAACTACAACATCTTCTTCGAGAATGTAGATAAGATGGAAGCTCCACCTGAAGTTCAAACCAAGGTGATAACTGTGCAAGTAAGTGCAACTGATCCTGTAAGAGTCCCAGCACAAAGACAGACTTGATAGAAAGTTGCAAAAACACAAATAATGTGGTTTCTGGAAAACTGAAATGAAAAGAACAATAGAAATCTTCCACAAGTCAAGCAGCATCTGCAGAGAGAAATAGAGTTAGCATCTTAGTTAATGATGACCGAATCTGATGAAAGATCGCCTTGACCTGAGACATTTACTGTGTTTCCATCCAGAATGCACTGCCTGATTTGCTGAGAATTTCCTGACTTTCCTGTTTGTGTTAATTGAAGATTATTCTGATAGAGTGAGATAAAATTCAATGGGAGTAGGCTGGTGTGGAACATAAATGCAGACATGAGCCATGTAGGCCAAATGGCCTGTTTCTCTGATGTACAATCATCTGGCATTGGGCGCCAGTTGTAGCTCCATCATGTGTACACAACATTACATGCAGAAAGGGCTAAGCGGTCGTGCACAGATGGAATGGGTTAAGTGATTTACAGTGATCTCCTGCTATTTGCATAATGTGTTCCTGAAGATTGTTACAGTCAGCGATTTTTGCAAATAGCAACGGCTTACTGCACATGTGCAATGTGTGATGCATGCACACATTTTCGAGCTGCAAGAGGAAATGGTGGAGGTGGGTACAATTGCAGCATTTAAAAGGCATCTGGAATGGTACTTGAATAGGAAGGGTTTAGAGGGATAGGGGCCAAATGCTGGCAAATGCAACTCTATTAATTTAGGATATTCGGTGTGCATGGACAAGTTGGACCAAAGGGTCTGTTTCCATGCTGTATACTCTATGACTCTCCTTAACCTGAGAGTAAATTTGATGGAGATCTGCCCCTTGCTGAGGGTATGGTTCTTGGGGGTTCACATCAAGTGTTTGGCCACAGTTAAAGATGTCCTGAATTGACAGTGAACTGTGACTCTGAATCTAGGCTGAATCTGACGCTGACAAAGTTGGCTAGTGTGGCCCACAGGGATGCCTTAGCTCAATGTGGGATATTCTTCGGGGGATGAATTTGGAAGACATTTTACTTGTGGCAGAAAGGGGAGGCAGCCCAAGATGCTGCAGAGATTGTATACCTGAAATGGGAAAGGTCATTTGATGTTCCAGAGAGGGTACACTGTGTGTAAGGTGCCTGCAGGGATACAGAATCACAAACACTGTGAGTACTTGAAAACTGATTCACTTCTATACCATGCCCTTTGTTGCATGTGAAAAGGATCGTTGTTTGTATATTAATCAATCAAATCTTCAGAAATCACTGGCAGCCATCTCATCACAGCCACCATGTTGCATTCTTCCATTTAATGCAAATGTACCAACCGCAGCAAAGATTGATAGAACAATAACAAAAATAGAAATTGCTGGAAAATCTCAGCAGGTCGAGCAGCATCTGTGTAGAGAAAGCAAAGTCAACATTTCAGATCCACTGTCCACTCAGTGGTGGCTCAGTGGTTAGCACTACTGTCTCACAGCATAGGGACCCGGGTTCAATTTTACCCTCAGGTGACTCTCTGTGTGGAGTTTGCACATTCTCCCTGTGTCTGCGTGGATTTCCTCCAGGTGCACTTGTTTCAACCCCCAGTCAAAAGATGTGCTGGTTAGGTGGATTGGCCATGCTAAATTACCCATAGTGTCCAAGGTTGTGTAGGTTAGCTGGATTAGCCATGGGAAATGCAGGGTTACCGGATACAGTGGGTCTTTGAGAGATGCTTTTTGGAGGTATTGGTGTGGACTTGATTGGGCACTGTAGGGATTCATGATCTTATGTCACCAGAGGAAAACTATACAGTTAGATCCAAAATCTAGTGGATTATCTTTGCGTAGAAACCAAATGGTGTTGACCTATGTTTAGTAGCTTTATCCACTCTCAAAACTGAATAGAGCTTACTCAGCTCTGCTTCAACATTGTCTGTTCATCTCAAATATCACCTTATTTAAAATTCTAGAGCATTTTGTCCTCCTACATTAACCATCTTATGAATGCAGTGAGATCCCCAAGCAGCATGTGGTATGCTATGGAATTGTATTTGCTTTCACTTGGCAAAGATATAAGTCTTCACTGGAAGAGACATTTTTTTTCACATTACCCTGGGCTGGATTCAAATCGAGATCACCAACACAAAACAGTCACTGAGTCATCTACGTTCCCAATTCCTTACTGAAAAAGGATAAGGTCAGCACAGTAAAGTTGAGATATTAACTGTGACAATGGACATGGTTACTTGGTGTCACTGAGTTGTTTTTCAGAAAATAAACCTTACTTCAATCTTTGAAGCCTTGTAATCAAGTTATGTTTAGTTAATGCCACAATTGGCATAGACTGTCATGTGTGGATTTCGAAATCTGCAGGCTTAGTGCATCAATCAGTAGCTCGCTAATCAAGAGTCATTAGAACATACTGACCTCGTAGATCCTTATTTAGCAATACTTTTATGGAAGGCTTTGTGAAAGTGAGAGAAGGAAGAAAATTTTAATAGGAGCGGGAAGAGGTCATTCAGACTTTCTGAGCTGTTCCTGCATTCGGATAGATCATGGCTGATCTATAACTAGCCTCTGTTGTCCCCCAATACCTTCATCTGACAAAGACGTATTAGTTCCAGGCTTGAGAATTTCTGGCAGTTCCAAGCAGCCAGTCCTTGAAACAGTGTCAAGGATAAGGAAGACATTGGCTGGTCTAGTCAGGTATAGCACTGAAACATTTGTGTTTTTGGGCCGCAGAAACAGCTGCAGGTGCTGTGAGAGGCTGCGGTCATGACTCTCGATACTTTCCACAAGGCTCTGCTTGCTGCTGGGTGGCCAAGTTCCTTCACCAGATATGATGAGCCCTTTGACAAATCCAGGAGCTGGACCAGAAAAAAAATATAATGAAGACATCAGCCCAGGTCAGGGTGCAGTGAACTGCCCAGAAGATAGATTTGCACTGTAGTGTCCCTCGCAAACTCAGGACATTCTAAAGAGATTCATAATCAAATTAAGTTACCCCACAGCTAAAGTACTGTTTCTGGTTCATTTTTGTTTATTCGCTGGTGGGATGTGGATGCTGGCTGGGCTTCCATTTATTGCCCATCACTCATTGCCCTTGCGAAGGGTGATGGTGAGTTGCCTTCCTGAGCCAATACAGTCCATGTGCTGTGGGTTGACCCACAATTTCAGGATTTCAACTCAGTGACATTGAAGGAACAATGATATATTTCCAAGTCGGGATGGTGAGTGGCTTGGAGGGGAACTTGGTTGTGTTCCCATGTCCTTGTCCATCTAGATGGAAGCGGTCATGCATTTGGAAGGTCTTATCTTTGGTAAAGTTCTGAATTCTAGTCACTGCAGTTGTGGAGGGATGATAGACAGGGGACAAACAAGGATGGGAAAAAGAATGGAAAATTCTAACAATGGACAGGTGATGGGACTGCTTTCTTTGGAACAGAGGAGGCTGAAGGGAGATTTAATTGAGGTGCACAAAATAATGAGAACGCTAGAAATAGTGGATAGAAATGACTTATTTCTCTTCGCGTGTCCAATAACCAGGGAGCACAGATTTAAATTAATTGGCAGAATTAAATTAGAATCTGAGTGATACATTTACATCGAGAAAGTAGAGGGAGTTTCAAACTCATTACCTGAAGGGGTGGTAAAGGCAGAAACCTTCATGTCATGTAAAAAGTACACAGATATATGATTGGACTGAAGTGCTGTAACATGCTGTAACGCATGAATTGAAACAAGATTAGGCCGTTCGGCCCCTCAAACCTGATCCATCATTCACTAAGATCATTGTTGATCTGTTTGTGTTCCAGATTCTACATTCTAATCTACCCTGGTAACTTTGATTCCCCCGCCTAACCAAAATCTATCTACCTCTGCCTTAAAAATATTCAATGTCTCCCACCTCCCCAGCCTTCTGTGGCAGAGAGTTCCAAAGTCAAACAAAGCTCTGAGAGAAAAACATTTCTCCTCATCTCTGTCCTAAAATGGCAAAGCCTAATATTTAAACAGCTCCCTCATTCTGGATTCACCCACAATAGGAAAGTCTATTTACACATCCACCTTGTCAAGACCATTTTAGTCAAGCTACCACTCATTCTTCTAAACTGCAATAGAGACAAACCCAGTCTGTCAAACCGGTCTGCCCTGTAACTGACAGGGCTGCAGACCCTTGGCTGCGTTTTTTTCCGTATGGTATGGGTAGAATAGACTGCATGGTCTCTTCCAGTGCCCTCTATTTTCCATGTTACTAAATGCATTTGAAGTATAGTCACTGTTGCAATGCAAGAAACTGCAATAGGCTCTCTGTTGAACATCTTATCAAAAAAGTAACATTGCCAACAATGCAGCACTTCCTCAGTACTGCACCGATACATCAGATGCATGGCTCCCCGGAGTGAGACTTGAAACAGGACCTGGAGATGCAAAAGCACCATTGCCACCACCAGAGCTACAGTTGATGCCTTTCACTTTGTGATAGGCTGCGTAACGTTATTCAGCAATTGGCTCAGCAAATAAAACCACCATGGAATAAATGCCTTCAACATGATAAGGAGGAACACTCTGCTGTTATGATGGATTAGAAAGGGGTTAGTAGGGTATCCGTAGTTGGGAAGTGGTACACTGAAGAGTGCGTTAACAGAATGATCTGTGCTCCTGTGTTTCCACTGTGTTCTCCAGCAGCCCTAATACCTTCAAATCAGGTGCCTTTGTCCAAAGACCAACATGGCTGTTCAAGTTACCAATGCATGATCACCAACACCTACAGGAACTCTCTCTGCTCAATAACATTGCAAAACAAAAAATTGATAGAAATGAACTCGGACATTGTAACCTTGAGTAGGAACAGTCAGAAAGGACCCAGGAATGTAACACTAGTTAATGAGACACAAAATTGTGCTTAAAGTTTTGTCCTTTTATTGAATTGTCAGAGGGAAAAACCAGCAAAATATGCGTTTGAGACATCCTGGTCCGACTTGTATGTTTCAAACTGAAATCAGTTTCTGGA